GATCTGACAGTCACATATTAGTATACTTCTTTGCCACACAAACCATTTGACAAACAATATTCCTAGTTGGTTGAGTAAACCAGTTCTCTTAATGTTCACCAGAATTTTTCTCTTGGTATAGTCTGATTTAAATTCAAAGAATTATGCAAGAGTATTTCCTGTATTTCCTAAATCATCTTGAAGCCTCACATTTTCTAACAAGATTTAGTGAAGTACAGAGACAAACTAAGACCCAAGGTGATTATCCTTTAGAAAGAGGCATGATTAAATATAAGTATGTAACTAGTCCTCTTGAGCTGAAATGTATGTCTTATTAAAGTGTTATTAGAAGAAGAACAGTGTTATGAGAAGAAGAAAGAGTACTCTGCTATGTCAAGCCTGATAACAAGATCAAGGCACAAGATCTAAATGATTAAGCTATCATTCCATATTAACCCTTAATTGCAAAAGCCAATATCAAGTGGAGCCTGCTGGGTATTTCTCTTGATTATTTTTTTTTCTTGTTATTACACGTGGAGTCTCATCATTCTGCCTATCTTAAATTTGCCTAATCTTTTATATTAAAAGGCATTTATTGTTTTACCAATATTTAATTTTGTGGGTTAGTATTTTTCACACCAGCTACCTTCTTCATGATGAGTTACTTTGGGAAGTTTCATCTAAAATGTTTCTAGAAGCAAATTTAAGGGTAATCTTTCCTTACAGAAAAGAATGGTATAATATTTTTTTTTATTAAAAATACCAAGTGCTTCCCCTTTTCTGAAATAGGAACAGGCAATTTGAGAAATCCGAATATTCCTCTTCCTGCTGCCTTTAATACCAGTACCAGTGATCTCTGCCATGGATCTAAAGCATTAACTGTACTGGCAAACCGAGTAGGAATCAGGATGATCCTCCTAAAAGGGAGCAAAGTGGAACAGGTGCCATCTTCCCTTTTTAATTAAAGAAATCAAATGCAAAAACTACTCTGAGAAAATGCTCCATTTGTAAGTTCAAACATTCAAGATACAGAATGTCAAAACAAATTTATTTTCATAGAACATTATTCACTTCCCTTATGCATACAGATTGTGATACTACCTGTAATGTTCAAATAACTCAGACTTACAAGACCCTTGGAAAACCGAATCAAAATATGATTATATAAAGTTGAAAATTGTCCTTTCACTCCTTTATCAGTTAAAGCCCTGTCACTCTTTTCTCAGTTAAAGCCAACATTTCTTCAACTAATACTAAGGTGATGGCATAAATGTCAAGGAACACAAGAATAGATAATTTTTCATAATTTGTTACCCATGAAATAAGAGTACTGCACTCTTATACTCTTACTTCTATAAGAAGCTTGCACCAAAATCATAGATAAGTTTTGCACATTACAGGAAGTGTGATTTGGGTGACATATAATAGAGGTACATGGTAGAGTTCTAAGCAAATTTATAAACATTAAAAAAAAAGAAGTTACAAAAATCAGACTCCTGTGCAAACAAATAAAAACCACAATCTGTTAATGCTTCTTTGTAAATATTTTCACCATTACAGTGTTCACCCCCTTGGACACTATTTTTGCCTACCCTATCAGCTTCTCCTGTTGATGTTTCTGATGGAACTTTTTTTATCATCCAGTGCAGCCTGATGATTCTAGGGGAATTGTTTGTAGCTTTGTCTCAAATAAGTGCAACATCTTCCCATATGGGATCTGTAGCAGTTATTATCAGGGAAAGCATATTTTATTACCCTCAATGAGGTTGAAAAGATGACATTAGGGTATTGTCAACTGTAACATGTGGCTTATTTAATTAGGTACACAAGTACTGGGAGAATTCCCAAAATGAAATACATTTGAGACAATTACCAGATACACAACATGCAGCACTTGAGAGCTTTGATCTCCAGATACTGCCTTTAAAAGGTCCTTGTGCAGCACACTCTTATTCTCTCTAAATGGTTAAGTTGGGCTTTTCATCACTTAGCTGGTGTAGGGAAGCAAACAATTATTATTTCAGATGGAAAATATTTTTTCCACAGGATTAAATAACTGATAGTATTACTTTTAGAGAAGAATTCTCCAAGAAGTAAAGAATCTTGGTTGCAAATATTTTTAATATTAAAATGAAGAACTAGCCTTATTATCTTTAGATAAACATCATGGAAAAGGGCAGAAGAATAAGCAGTGTAGCCTTTTGCTTTTCCAAAAATACTTGTAATAATATTCTCCTTTGTATATCTTGTGTCTCTATATTTTTTCTTGGTAGCAAAGGCCAGTTCTTTATGAAATTTCCTGTTTTCCTTTTTTCTTGCCTGAAAAAACTCCTTACAGTAGAAAAGACCAGTTTTTCTGAATTGTTATTTGCTTCAAAATAGCTTTAGAATTTGTCTCTTTGACTGTAGACTACAAAATACAGACTGCTGCTGTCTTCCAGGAGAAGTGACACATTGTTTTTCCAGTTTGCAATGGAGTGAAAAGGTTACACCACTCTTATTTCTCAGAAGCAGCCGCACATAGACTTCCCAGGTCTAGTTGTGATGTCTAAGTAACTAGTGCAGCACTGTTAAGTGCAAATCAATGTGGAAAAGTATTTGATGCTACAATAAACATTTCAGTAGCTTTTAAACTAGACAAGCACTAATCTTAACAAAGCATGTTAAATCGGAAGAATCAGGAGATTCGCTTGAAAATCTCACTTCTGATCTTAATTAAAATGCTACCAAAAACCTCCCATACCTTCTAACAAAACAAGCTATTGTCTCACACAGGAAAGGAGACTACAGTTTTCATCACAGGGGTAACTGGAGGAAATGCTTGGCACAGATTTTAAGAATCACCGTTTTCTAATTTCAGAGACTTTATAAACTACATAAAATTTAAAAGTCATAATTTATTCAGGTCATCCGCACGTATAAATGTTGCAGGTATTTGGAGTGGACACATCACTTACAGGAGCTGTTGTGTGCACTAATGAAAATTGGGGAATTACCATTACAAGACTGTTCCTTAGCAAAAATGTGGTTTGCTTTGCATAATACCACAAGATGTGAAAACCAGAATGTAGCCACATAATGGAAAAAATTTATTCTGTGCTTCAAGGAAAAGTTGCAAGTTCATATAAGAGGTACAATACATCTCTAGGAAACTTGGGCAGCTCTTACATTGGGGACAATCCCCATCATAACTTCATAATCTTGCTAAAATCTCTGTTGTTCTCACACAAAAATCAGAATACCACTTAAAGGAAAATAAATGCTCTGATCCTCGAAACTCTACAGAAGAAAATATTTTATCCTTAGCACAGTAGTCAGAGTAAGTTCATCTAGCACAGGTGTATACGTAATCAATTATAATAAACGTTCCCCTTTAGGGTTACAGCCAAAAAAAATAATGCTTTATTCATATTAACATCGACAGGCCTAAGTATCCAGGCAGAACCTCACCGCAAATTTGATTTATTAAAAAAACCAGGAAACCAACACCAAACACAACCACCAAAAAGTTCTAAGAAGGTGGGCCATACCACCGAAACCAGAGTCCAAATGTGGTGTGGGTCGAGCAAACAGCCCAAGCAGGAGCGTGGAAAAGCAAAAGAGTGGAAACACAAACAAGGCTGCTGGCTGGAGCTTCTGACATTTTTTTCTTCCACCAAGAATAAAACACCAGGTGTCTTAATAATGATTTAGAGACATCAGCTTGTGAATTTAATGACACCAACTTGGGGGGGAATGTTGATCTGCTTGAGGGTAGGAAGGCTCTACAGAGGGATCTGGATGGGCTGGATGGGTGGGCCAAGGCCAATAGTACAAGGTTCACCGAGGCCAAGTGCCAGGTCCTGCACTTGGGTCACACCAACCCCATGCAGCACTACAGGCCTGGGGCAGAGTGGCTGGAGAGCTGCCAGGCAGGAAAGGACCTGGGGGTTGTGGTCGACTGTCAGCTGAACATGAGCCAGCAGTGTGCCCAGGTGGCCAAGAAGGCCAACAGCATCCTGGCCTGTATCAGGAACAGCGTGGTGAGCAGGACTCGGGAAGCGATCATCCCCTGTACTCGGCACTGGTGAGGCCTCACCTCGAGTACCGTGTCCAGTTCTGGGCCCCTTACCCCAAAAAAGACATTGAGGTGCTGGAGTGGGTCCAGAGAAGGGCAACGAAGCTGGTGAGGGGTCTGGAGAGTAAGTCTTAGGAGGAGAGGCTGAGGGAGCTGGGGTTGTTCAGCTGGAGAAGAGGAGGCTGAGGGGAGTCCTTATCGCTGTCTACAACCATCTGAAAGGAGGGTGTAGAGAGGTGGGGGTCAGTCTCTTCTCCCAAGTCATAGGCGATAGGACAAGAGGAAATGGCCTCAAGTTGTGCCAGGGAGGCTTAGATTGGATATTAGGAAGAATTTCTTCACTGAAAGGGTTGTCAAGCATTGGAATGGGCTGACCAGGGAAGTGCTTGAGTCACCATCCCTGGCTTTAAAAGATGGGTAGAGAGGGTGGTGAGGGACATGGTTTAATGGTGGTTTTGGTAGTGTTCAGTTAATGGACTCGATAATCTTAAAGCTCCCTCCCAACACAGACGATTCTATGATTCTAAGATTTTACTGCTGTACAGCCACCAGCCCCTGAAGATGGGAAACCTCGGAGAGGGCCTCTGCCCGCACTGGACAGGCTGCGCACACCCAACCCCTCCCTACCCACTAAGAGAACCCCAAAAAGCTTTTAAATAGTCCCAAACCCCCTTCCCCCACGTTGCCTTATAGCATTTTCCTCCGGGGAGCAGCAACCGGGCTCTGAGCGGAGATGCTCCCTTCTCACAGCCCAGCCGCCCCGGCCCCTGCGGGCCTAGCGCGCATGCGCACGGGCACGCCCGCTCACCGCCTACCGCAACCTCCCCTTCCCGCTTCCAACGGCCGCGCTCTCAGAGGACCCCCTCCCCGGGCCGGGGGCAAGCTGGGAGTTGTAGTCCGAGGCTCGGGTGGTCGGAACTACAAGTCCCAAAACCGTCGGCGGTTGCGGAGGTGAAGGGGCGGTGGGAGGCGGCGCCATTTTGCGGGTTAGGGGTTAGCGGTGCTCCCCTCCCCCCCGCCGGCTGGGAGAGGGCTGCTCGCTGAGGCGGCGGGAGGCGGGCGGCTCTGACTTGAGGTTGGTCTCTTCGTCCGCATGTGGCTGTGGATTCCGTCCAGTGGGGCCGGGGAGACGCTTCTCCGCACCGGCGTGTGGCAAAGGGGGACCGTGGCCGAGCGCCGGTGCTGGTGCACGGAAGCCGGCTGCTGCGCTTGTGGGACGCCGGCGCCGGGCTGAGGGACGTGTGTGTGGGGCGGGGAGCGGGGTGCCTTACCCTGGGGCCCAGGAGAGGGGAAGGACGGAGGGAGGGAGCGGCTGACACACCTACTGGGAGTCGGCGCCGGCGGCTCCCGGCAGCCGTCCCTTCGCCTCAGCACCCCGCTGCCCGCGCCGGCGGCTCGGTACCGGAGCAGCGCCTGCTCCCCCCCCCGGCTCTGCGGTGCGGCCTGCCTCTGTTGGGGGGACGCTGGCCTAACATGCTTTGTCACTTCTGAACCCACAAAGAGGTGGTCACACAGGCAAAACCAATCACTTTCCCCCTTCTGTAAGTTCTGCCACATAGGCCTTCTTTTTCCATTTGGAAATGTATCGGGCAGGTAGAGCTTAAGGCCTTGAGTTACATGGTGGAGTCTTCTGGATGTTTGGCAGGTTAGTTAACGTGATAATTTAGTGTTGGAAGTGCCAGCCTGGTGAATCACATATGCCAGCAGCTCGGGTTCAATGCTGACAACCAGCTCTTTGCAGAAACGTGATAGCCTGTCCCATTCAAGAGGCAAGACAGTCACATAGAGTGTGCTTTCTGAGTACATACTAACTCTGTACTCCCCAAAAATGCTGTGGAGATGCTTTCGCATGTAACTTCACTGTGCCAAAGGATAATCAGAGTGAGTCTGTTTAGGAAGAAAGGATATTTCTGTCTGGGACAGTCACAGAGCAGCATCCTCCATCGTTAGAGAGATTGTGTGCAGCAAGCGTTCAGGTGCTCTGTTTTTGTTCCACATCAGAATACAGACTCTGCTTCAATACCATCCCAGAAGAGAGAGGAAGACACAGAAGCTAGTAAAGTGACTTTTTTATCCCAACCCTGGTTTTGAGTGCAGGTAGAGTAACATTTTTGGGTAGATGGGGTATTGAGTCCTCAACTCATTTGATGTCATCTCGCTTTCTTACTTAAAAAAAAGAGGAACAGAGAAGCTTGAGGTATGCATAAAATGTGTATACCTTGAGAGGAGGAGAGACCATAGTACCCACAGTGTTGTTCCACCAGTTCTGAGGAAGAAGCCTAGTTGCATGATGTTAGTGCTGTCTTCCAAGTAGTAAAGTAAAATGCAAACAGTAAGGCCTCTTTGGTTTAGACATTTGGAGGCTGAAGATGGCAGAATTCTCTTCCTTTGGGGAGTGAGAAAGTGCCCGAAGTAACACCTTTTCTGGTTAGTTTTGCAAGTGAACATGAGATGATAAAGGTTACTTACAAATCTTCCTTTAATACTACCTACAGATCCTTTTCAGATATAGGAACAAAGCTTAATGTCTTGTTCAGAATGAGGTACGTGTGACATTTTATTAATATTTACTTCTAGAAACTTGAAATGTTCACAGAAAGCAGTAGAATAAACCCTCTAGTAGGAAAAATACTTTCTTTTTTTGGTACTGCATTTGGGTTTTTGGAGGGTTTTGGTTGAATAAACTACTTGGCACTTGATTTATAATAAAATGACTGGCTTTGAATTCTATCTAGACTTCAGGAATACAAAGGAAAATCCAAGTAATTCTAACTAATAGATGGATAATGACATGACTGCATGTCACAGTGGTCAGTGCCATCTTGCTTTTTTTTTAATTGTTCTTGTGTCACAATCTTTCTGGAACTTATTCACTCATTCTTAGATTGCAGTCTGGTTGGGGCAGGGATTGCTTTTTTTTGTGTGTTTATTTTTAGAAAATGTGCAACTAAGTGGTCTTGGTCTCTAACAAAGGTCTTCAGTTGTTCCAAAACCAAAAACATAACAGATTGTGGATTCAATTGGAAGTCTTATTTGACTAATACCAAATTATAAATGCCATCCAGCACCTGTTTGATTGGTGCTACATAAATTAGTTGAGTTCAGTTTGTGTCACAGAAAATAATCCTTGTGATTGGGGTATTTGCATTTTTGTTGGTTGTAGTAGTACTGATATCAGGTATCAGTTTGTGCATTGGAGATTGGCACGTTTATGCAGTAAAAGAAATAACACTTGTCAGAATAATATAGGTCAGTAGAGAACAGAGGTTGTTGGTGTAATCAATTTTTCAAATATTCACATTTAAAAAGCATGATTTGTAAATTATTTAAGATGTAAGATGTGACTGCTAGACTGGTACAGCACTAATGTATTACTTTGCTAAAGATGCGCAATAATGTGGCAGTTTTGTTTAAACAAGACTTCCAGTAGGTGATGTCTACTACTACTGGTTGAGTACTTTTTAGTTGTGACCATGGAAGGTCGCGTATCATAGGATGCATATTGTAGGCCTGAATAATTTCTGCTTTTTTATACTTTACTTTAAAAATGTGCATGCTGATAATGTATTAATTTTTTTCTAAGATGCTTCATGCTGAAAGTAGAGTAAAGCTCTTGGAGTGTCAGGATGAAATCTCAATTGAACCATGTTCTAAAAAAATGAAGTCAACAGAAGGGGCTTACGAGAAACTCTCTGGTGATGATAACCAAGGTATTCAAGAAGAAGCTGATACTGAGAGAACATCAAACAATTTGATACCAGCGTATGCCTCAGATAACCAAATGCAACATGAAATGCAGGAGCAAGAGAAAGTACATACTGGTATCTTGGGAACACCGGATGAAGTGCTCCCTGAAAATAACATAGTACTTAGTCAGCCAGTTGATTCAGAAACTGTGCATAATGTAAATCCTCCATTTGCATCTATAAGTGACACTGAAGTTGAAGAAAATAAAGGCCCTTCTATTACAAATAATGCTGGTGAAGATGATATTGGAAATAGCTGTACATTATTCTCAGTAAATAGAAATGCATCAGATGAAGAGTTTTTTACAAGCAAAGAATTTATCGGACCGATTTACAAGCCTGCTGAAAGCAGTAAACGGGACAAATCTGGGAGTTGTGATGAATGTGGAAACGGTGAGGGAGATCAGAATGAATTGCATGAAAACAGGGCTAAAAGAAAGGAGGCAAAGAAGTTTCAGACTATTTCTTCTGCTGTACCACAAATAGATGATGAACTCGACCAGTTCTATAAAGAAATTCATCAGCTGGAAAACGAAAATGTAGACGCTAATATTCAGGAAAAAGAAACTGAAACTTCTCAGGAACAATATTCTCCATATAACTGTAGTCAAACCTCACAAGAAGATTATCAAGGTGTATTGTTGGGTGGCCCGCAGCCATTTTATGAGAATGGACAGTGTTTCTTTGGGGAACAGAATAGTGGAAAAGCAAGCAATGAGCAGCAGTTTGGTGTGGAAACAAGTGGCTGGAAAACTGAAAATACCTTTACAGGACAAGTAGATTCTAAATATTGGAACTACTCAGTGCCTGAATTCAGACCTGCTTGGCAGGCAACAGAGTCCTTTGTAGTACCTCAGGGACCTCTTGCTCCTAGATTCGACCATCAGTCACATTTTCAGATACTTAATTCCCCACCAGAAAAAACAAATGCTCTCCCTTCTCACAATGATGAACTTGCTTACAAAAATTATCATGGTTACCATGAAAATACTGATTTCAACAGTCTCAGTCCATTGCTTGATCAAAGTACCAACTATGCTGGTCATACTGATTTCCATACCACTCAGGTCTTCAGAAATGGAAATAATGACCAGAACGGACTCCAAAATAATGACCAGAACGAACTCCAAAATAATGGTTTCTGTGAAACCAGAGAAGAGTGTTGGAAGGATCCAAAAGCTGACAATACGGAAGGAATACATAACTTTTCTCCCTTGCAATTACCCGAAGAAAGATTCAATCTTTCCCAGAAATGGCTCCTAATCTTAAGAGGGCTGCCTGGTTCAGGGAAATCAACACTTGCTCGGTAAGTGAAGACTTAAAGCTTGAGAAACTTAGTCAAATCAAAATTTTTAAGAATTAAAAAAAAAAAAAAACATATCTATCTGTAAGCACTTGGCAAACTTTAGTATTTGTAAATTAGGCTATTAAAATGCAGTAATTTTTAGTTAATGAGGACAAATGACAATAAATATTAAAAACATTTGCTTGGGGTTTTTGTCTCCTGATGGTGCACGGAAGCCGGCTGCTGCGCTTGTGGGACGCCGGTGATTTTCATGAACAGGAGCTGCTTTGTGTTCTGTATCCATTAAATTGCATAATCTTTTCTCCTGAAATTTTCAGGTATACTAGCATATGATGATCTGCCTCTTTTTTTTTTTTTTCCTGAAGTTCCTTCATCTAAAAAAATCTTCTTTAAAATCTAGTAATTTGACTGAACCAGAAGTACTTTTCTATGCCAATGCAAAAGTCTTCAAAGACCATAACAAGAATTTTGCTGCTCTGAAAATACTTAATTTGTTTTCAGTGTGATGATGAAACTGAGCATAATCTCACTTGCTTTTTTTCATACTCTAATCTGTCAGCTTCTCTGTTTATTTGTCAACAACACACAAGAAAAGTATTGTTTTCCCTTAAAAATGTACCGCCTCCAACTTGGCCTAGTTTAGAAAGCACAGAAGTTAACACAGAGCACAGATGCTATCTGTATTAAGTGAAAATAGGGTTTCTCTTCCATACAAAAAAAAAAGTTACTATATCAATACTTACGGATTGAAACCATACATCACGTCTGTGGTTACCTTCTGTTCTATGCTGAGTCTATTGAATAGATACAGTGATCATGTTCTTCCTTGTTTTATGTAAAAGCAGTAACCTTGCTGTTTGGTTTTTTTTCTCTGAAAGGTAGGAGACCATGTAATAGAAAAAATACCTATTAGAAATGTCTAGCTTAGGTATTCCTATAACTTTAACATTTTCAGTTACTGAGCACTTTATTTTGCAAGCCTGCATTTCTGAAGCTACATAAGCGTGTGTGGTATCATGGCAATAATTCCTTTAATACATGAAAGCAACATAAAAATTTGAAAAAAAATTAATAAAGCTGTGGAAAAAATGCTGCCCCATTCAGTGTAGGAATTGGACCATACTTAATGTGAAGATATCTAACAATAGAATATTTTGTTTTCTGTGTTTTATGTGCTGAATTGTCCTTGAGTCTTTCTCCAAATATTTTATTCATATTATCTGAGAGATTCTAAATATCTTCAGGTTTTTATGAACGCATATTCTTCCTTTTTTCATCTTTTGCTAGTGAGATAAATTATTAATTTCATTTTACGGAGGGGAAAGTGAGTACTATGAGGCCAAGGTCAAGAATAGTCACCAAATTTGGGTGCTTGAATTTGAACTGTGTGGGACTTGTTTTTCAGTGTATTCAAGTTATATGCAGTTTCATATGTTCAAAGCTTGGTTGCAATTAACAATTCCCATAAAATCATGTCTCAGGTACATGGTGGTGGTGGTACTGAGAATTAATGTCTGCCTATGAGGAAAATATATGTATTATTAATTAAGTCTTATTCTTAATAAAGTCGACTATGCTTGTGTGTGTAACATCATAGACTTCTACAGAGTAGACTAGGACAGTAAATACAGTCTCCTGATGTCATATTAGTACCTACAGGTACCTCTGCAGGCTTGGCATCTTTAGCTCCTCCAAATGAACCTCTACTACTTGTGCTAGGAAAGTGGCTGTGTAGGAAAAGCAGAAACTTGGCATCATCTGTGTGGATCAGTACTAGAATGGAATGAGATGCATCTTGCAAGTGGGTTTCTCAAGTATGAAATGACAGCAGAACAGCAGTAAGACCCATGAATCTTGAATTTCTATTTGTGTTTTGTTTAAAGTGAGGGTTTGAGAGTACAGCCACTTTTCCTCCTGCTCCCAAACTTGACCCACATCTGTCCTGAATCTTTCACTGAAGTCTGTTTTGTTTTGACTCTTCTGTCCCCATCTGCTTGGAATCACAAGCAACTTTTTTGGAAGAAGCTCATAGCAGGTCTGTCACCATTGTTGGATCAGATCAGCTGTGTCTTTGTCTAGCCTGATCTTGAAAAACGTGCAAGTACAGAGATTCCACAGTCTCTCCAAGCTTTTCTGGTCCATTGCCACCCCTCTAGTAAATAAGTTCTTCCTAATTTCCAAACTGAAGTTCCCAAGCCATAATTTGCATGTGTTCTCCTGTGTTACACGGTGTGCTGTTACCTGGTAGAATCTGGCTCATCTTTTCAGCTTCCCTTCAGGTAAGGGTAAAGGGCTTATTCACTCTAATTGGCTAATAGCAGGTGGCCTTTTATTATCTTCATTGCCAGGCTAAACAAGCCCAGTTGCTATTAACATCACCCTCTAGGTCGTATGCCCGTAGCCAGCTGTGTAACCCTTTCATGGTTTTCAGCATGTCTTTTGAACTGGGAAGTCCCAATCTGCACACGTTTCAGGAGTTTGCATAAGAACCAGGTAGAATGTGCCTGATACCTTCCATTGATCTACTGGCCACATCTCTAATAAAGCCCAGCATGTGATTTGCACTTCTTTTGATGGGAGCACACCATTTGCTTATCTACAGTTTGATGTCCACTGTAATCCTTAGATCCTTTTCAGCAGGGCTGCTCAACCAGTTACTTTCCAGCCTGTACTCATGCTCAGGTTTCTTTTTCAACAGTTGCAGAACTTCACTCTTTTCCGCTTGTTGAGTTTCCTGCTTTTTTGCTTAGCCCGGTGCTCAAATGTCTCATTGTCCTTCTGGATAGAAGTCCTACTGCCCAGTATGTCAGGCATTGCACCTGCAAGTTCTCTGCCTCATCATCATGATGAGGCATACTGAAAAAATTGGTCCCATATCGTTCCTCTGCTTGTTACTGACTGGGTGATGATATCAGAAGCCTTGGTAATTTCAAAGTATGCTACATTTGTCACTCAGCCCTCATCCATAAAGGCAGTTGTTTCACCAGAGAGTGCATTCTGGTCACTAAAGAATTATTTGTCTGTTGCAAACCCCACATTGACTCTTCCTGATTACCTTCATTTCCTTCACGTTTGGAAATAGATTCCAAGAGGATGCATTCCATTGTCTTTCCAGGAACTGATGTTAGGTGAGGTTGAACAGCCTTTAGTTCCTTGGGCCTTGTCTTTACTTGCCATAAATATGAGCATAACATCAGTGGTTTCCTGGTCATTAGAGAGCTCCCCTCATCTTAATTTATTTCCTGTGTTTACTTGCCCTAGGCAATCCCAGCCTCCTGAGGCTCAGTCGAGTTCTGACATCTTTCCATCTATTTCCAATTTTGTTTTCCTGTTCCTATCCCACTGTGACTTTTGGTCTTTGCTTACTAGCTCCATGTCTGCTCTTAAATTCTAAGTTGATTTCTCAGTTCCTTCTCCCATTGGTTTTGGGTTCCTTCCTTGGTTTTGGAAGTGATTGTCCATTTAGTTTGAAATTTTCTGAAATGGTTTGGCCAGCAATGATATCTTTAGCCCAAGCAACAAAAGTCTGCTACAATTAGAAGTAGATGATGACATGAAAACAAGAAAACAGCCTTGTATTTTTAGGATATTTTGGTACTGAACTTGGCAGCAATTGCAATTTTCCATTCTTTCATAAATGTCTGAACATTAATTTGAATAAAAGGTTGAAAGAACAAATACTGGTGTCATTTAAGATGTACACTTTGAATTAAATCCATTATCAGGAATGTACAAAGAGAGTCATCTTTGTCTTGGATTAAACAGTGTTGAAAGCATTGCTTTTAAAGTCACCTTTACATAGCTTAGTAATACTGCAGATTTTTAAATTATATTTATTGTCTATTTTTTCCTCATCTCTGATATGTTAGCTACTTTAAATAGGTGAATTATAGATTCTAAGAGATCTTCTTTATTATAAAATCATCTGTCAAATTAGGCTAACCAGGATGCAGGTTGGGGGACCATTTTAGTTTTGAAGAAAAATTAAGGCAGGATTTGTGTGTGTGTGGTGTGCCTGCGTGTGCTCTGAAAAAAAACATGTATTGGTTTGCAGACTAGTTAAAATGAGCATTTTAATTTCAAGATGAGTTTTGCATGTCCAGTTTATATCTTCTCTTGGATCATATAGCATATCTGAAAAAAGTAGGTGAGTTGCTTTGATTTTTTTATCTGCTTTATTTTGGCCTGTGTTCAAAGGTAGGCGTTCAATTGCAGGGAGGGTTTAGGTTGAAAAAGCTGGATTACAGCAGTTGGATAATACTGCTACTTATTTCAGGCACGTGTGCATATTGATGCTGACTGATCTGTAATTTGACTCTTGTATTTATTTTACTTTTTTTCTTTCTGAATTTCTCAAAAGTGAAAGAACATCTCTTTGTGGGTTTAGGTAGTAATGATGCTTTCTTTACATAGATGTGCTTTTTGTTGTTTCTGTTTCCTAGTTCATGAGCCTGGGATAAGTTTTATTTCCAAATACATGTTAGAAGTATGTGAATTATTCCATATGATGTCAATGAGTACATTTGTGTTTTAAATTTTACAAGTTTAAATTCTATAAATTCTGACAGATAATTGTCAGGCTTTTTAAATGTTATGTTTTATGACTTAATTTCATATTTTAGAAACAGGCTACTGTTGCAATAATTGAAGTTTCATTCATAAACTCATTACTTTGTGATAGCTTGTGTGTTGTGTAAAGGATAAAGGTTTTGTTACTCTGGCCTCTTCGGTAGTCACTTTGCTTTCCCAAATTCTGCAGTTTTAGGATTGTTCTTGCAAACATAGTTTACTATATAAGACCTGTTATATCAGTTACATAGGTTCATAAATAACTGGTGTTGTATTCTGAACTTCAAGGAATAATAACAAAATATTTAATGAATAAACTTTGTTGATGGGTTTGCAAGATTCCTGAACCCTTGTCATTGTGTTTCTTTGTTGATCTTCCAAACATCATTAGTTGTAGCAATAGAAGAATTTGAGTAAGTGAATTCTTCTCCAGAACACTTGGCAAACAGAGTGAGTTCCTAGAAATTAAAAATAAAAATGAATGCCCCATTAGTGTTGATTCATTGGTTCATGTATATTCCTACAAAGACCTGATTGTCAGGAGCTGTAGGGATGTGTCTATCTACTCATCTGATAGAAAAACACTAGTTATCATTTGCCATCTCTTTTATTAAGGCAGGTGATTCTTAAAGATGGTCCTTACTCACAAAGTGTGGAAGATGGATCCTGTTTTTCTAGCATGAGTAATTGGCAAATGTAGCATACTGTAAATAAGAAAATTGGGCCATGTGAGAAGTCATGGCCAAGTAACGTAATGAATATAAATTCCCATTAAATATTTTATACACGAGAGGAATAGATATGAAAAAATGCTGTTGTGTGTGGTACACGATTTCCTTGTTCCGTTTTATCTACTTTGAACAAAAAATAGCCATTAAATCCTTCTGTGCTCTCCTACACCAGTGTAATACACATCCTGTTAAAAGACATAGGCTCTAACAAAAATAATTGTTGAACAGTGTCCAAAAAGAGTAGCTGTACTTCTGGTTTATAATACTCTGCTTTCTGAAATAGCATTGCTATTTATGAGGCAGCCTTGATACTCTGGAAAAGGGATAAAGAGCAAGAAGGATAAAAACAGCTTCTATGCAACTTTGATCACGTTCCTTTATTTACATCGCTACTAGCTTCTTCTGGTCCTCGTAATCTGAATTTTGTTCATAAAGATATATCTGTTTTAAAAGCAAAAATAACAACATATTTGTGGGACAATAAGTGTGTAGGAATGTAAGTTAATATGTAATGCAGTATCCCAGTCTTTAAGCTGTGATCCATAAAGGGTCTGTTGTTGGTGACAGGTGGTAAAACATGGCAAATTACTTGTGTAGGAATTAAACTTAAGGAGTTCTTCCTGCAGATGCTTACAGGAAAGCTTTGTAACTTCAAAGTAACATACATTTGTTCCCCTACATTATTTGGGATTTGGCCGGTTCTTTTCTGTTCCTGCTACCTCAGTAGTACTGCATCCCAAATACTACTAGTGCAGTTTGGGTTTGTAGCCTTTAGGTACATTGCCTATTTGTGAGCCAGGCTAGTTGCCTAAATTTCCATAGGACAGTGATATCTGAGTGTTGCAGTGTTTACATTTGGCAGAATGGTGATGGCTTATTGGGATGGACTAATGCGGATTTGATTTGACAGATTCTGATGTTATTGATCAACCAGCAGTTAATTATTCCCTGTAACTTTTCTATAATCAATTTCTTTGACTCACAGGTATTTGTTGGTGTGCCTGGGCAATGTTTAAGATTAATTTTAGTTAAATCCAAAAGTGAGCTCTATGATGCTTATAGAGGGTTTGGCTGCAGCATTTCATGACAATGCAAATACAGAATTCTAGAAATGCTTGATGGATTTTTGTAGTATTCTGCCATCACCCATAACAATAACTTCTGAAATTAATAACAAATTATCAGTAATATGAAATATTACAGCATAGAGTAAAACTAAATAAGCTAACAGTGAACATTGCAGCTGTGTCCCTCTGAGTTCCCCTTTTTATCCTCATTGGCTTCCCAACAGTGTCTTTTATTGTTTGCTGAAGTATACTTAAATTTCTCCCATAATCTTTAATGTTAGCTGTGCAAGAAGCAGAATGTAATGCAACTTAATTCTGACCTAGAAACAAAGTAAACTTCCAGCCAGTAAAATACCTATGTTGCTTGGAAATCATGGGCATAAAAGACTGGGCAAATGTGAAATTTGTGTTGCAGTCTTTTTCTCTTTTTTTTGTCTTTATGGATTCTAATTTGAATCTCTGCATTTTATCCATTTGTTTACAAATTTGTTTTGCTTTGGTTTGTCTCTTTGTTTTCCCACCATAAAAATTCATAGTATTTTTGAGAGAATATTCTGTCAGATCTTGTTGAAATTGTTGTGTGTCCAGAAGTCACCATGATACGGCATTGCCTTAGGAAACCAAGCTAAAACAGTCTAATCAAGTGGTTCAAGAAGTGATTGTTTTTCTCCTGATTTGAAGTAATGCATGCAGGGATAGTAAAACGCACGGCTTTCCTGTCACCCTGCTAGCACTAAAGTATGAATGATAAGGAAAACCAGTATAAATCCCTGATAGAAACTGAGAGACGAAAAAATCCTGTCTTAAATTTCTTGTTCTCTATTAGACTGAAACTACAGTTCTAAGAGACAGCAGCTTACTGCTGCTAACCAGGGGAGGTCTCTGTTGACAGTCACTTTTAATGTAATACCTTTTGGGACCTTTTCTTAAATAGGCTCAATTGCTAAAGCTTCAGAAAAGTAACCCAGAAGGGAAAAAAAAAAAAAAAAAAAAAAAAAAAAAAAAAGAGGCAAGGATTACTTTCTTCTGAGCATGAATTCCCATGGCTGATAGATCCAGAGTGCCAGAGTTGATGAGATAACAGAGGCAAGTAAGAATGTCACCAGGACTGGGGGAGAAGACATAGACCGGGAATAGAAAAGTATAGGATCTTGAAGGAATATGGACATTCTTCTGCAACCCTGACTTTCATTAGTAGGACAATCTTGAAAGTTTGTTGTGATTGTTTACTTTTTTTCTGAAAATAGGGAAATTGCTGTAAACATTAGTAATTTTTTTTGCTGTTCCTGTTTGACCTAAATTGTATGTGCAAGCGGCATGGGCAGAAGTCAGAAGAGGGTGTGTTGGGAATTTAAGGTGCTGAAAAAGTACTTAAAGATCCAGTTCATTTCTCAGCTACATCCAGATTCCTCGTGATCAGCTTGGTTTCTAGAGAGAGTTCAAAATGAGAATTGATACGGGAAATGTTAGTAAAGACATTAAATTATTATGAGGTACCTAGAACTTACTGCAATATAACCATACATTAGATGGGTACAAACATCTCTTGGGGGTAGAGGAGAGGAAACGACAAATACAGTAGTAGTAGAAAGGGAGAAAATACATTGCTTTAATTTGGATTAGAATTATTGGTAATATATATGAGTGTACTTTAATAAACCTGTTTGAAGTTTGCAAGAAGTTCAGAAATAGGGCACAGCTAAATTTATTTTAGCTGTATTGTTTTTTTCCTGTGTCTTTTTTTTCCTATCTGAAAAATAAGAGTTAAAATATTTCTGTGTTTTCCTTTGTTTAATAGTATTCTGCTTGGTCAAAGTTGTGATGGCATCATATTCAGCACCGATGATTATTTTCGTCAACAAGATGGATATACATATAATGCTGCTCAGCTTGGTGATGCCCATGACTGGAACCAGAAGAGAGGTTTGAGTGCATAATGCTTATACTTAGAAAATAGATGTATAGCCTGACATGCGTGTGTGTTAATAGTCTATATGAAGAAGAATATATATGTATATTAGTATAGGATATATAGAAGTATGTATTTAAAGTATTCTTTATATTTTAATTACTGTATATATATACAAATTAAATTTTGAATTGAAGGTTCAAAGTTAAAAATAGAAAATCTCTCTTCCTTGTGCTATGATCTGCTGATTTGTTGCATTTGATACTAGTATCTTGATGGCAGAATTGAACCTCTTTAATGCTGGCAACAGCAGAGTATCCTATTTTTTTCCAGTATTCCTATTTCTTCCCTGGTCTGCAGTTCATCTAAAATTTATGGGGGAGTTTTTCTGAGGAAGATTTTAGTTCACTTGTGTAGATTAACAGCTTTAATAAGTCATCTTTTTTTAATACCCAGCAGTGTCCAAAGGTTGGGTTTAATTGGTAAGTAAGTAGATATCTGGGGTAAGAAGGGGTAGCAGACAGAGCCTTGCTCTTTCTGTAGCAGTTTTCTGAGAATCTCATTATCTGTTTGGTCTGCTCCCAGGAGCGGGCAAACTGAGCAACTCCATTGCCTGTGCATACAGATTACTCTCCATGCTGCAGTGTCTCGAGCAGAAGTTTCCTTCCTGCATAGAGGGTGGCTGCTTTGCATCAAAAGATAGAGGGCCAAGTTAAAAAAAACTATTCTCCCCTTTCCTCCCCTTCTCACCCTAATGCAAAATTTATGATACATCAGGGAAAAATTCTGTTTGAGCAATGAGGAAATTTTTTTAGAGCAGTCATTAGAATATCAGTTATAAAGAGCACTTTTGAGGTTGGAGTGCAGCAATAATAAAAGCTTTGAATGGAGGCTCCCAGCAGGAGCCTAAGGAGCAGTGCAGTTGATAAGGTAGTAGCTTATGGGCTCAACACTTCACAACTATAAGACCACCAAAAAATTCTCACTTGATAGTGGCTGCTGGTTGTTTGTGACTAGACCTTAGGATCTCTTTAGTACTGTATCACTTAGTTACACAGTAGTTTTTGATAACCAGAACAGTATATAATTTAGCTATTCAGTGATTTTGATAGCAAGAAGAACAGCTGTGCTATGTTGTATAGAACATCCCCACTGCAAAACGTTTGCCAGAATAGCTTTGGGTTTAAGTTACACTCAATTCTTACCTCCTGCTTTGACTAGATAGAGCTCTCTGACTTGAAGTACTTCAGAAGCTCTTGGTGGATCCTTGAAATACCTGGAATGAGAACTTCAGAGAACTTTAACTTTGTTTAATGGAAAATTATAAATTCTCCTGGAAACCTTTTCATATGAGTGTTATTTTAGTATTTTGTGCTTCAAATATTTCAGTTCTTTCATCTAATTAATTATCTTAACTTTTCTGTGAGCACTAGTGGTATTAGATTCTGAATTTTTCATTGGCAAGCTAAGGCACAGTTGCTAAAACCGTCTTCCTATTTTGAATGCCAAACTTAGCAATTTAGATACTTTCTTCAGGGTATGTAGTAGCAATTAAACTTAATATATTCAGAATAATTTTTCACTGGGCTCATATTCAGATGAGTTCGTATCACTTCTGTAAGTGATACCTGTAACTTTTGAAATTGGGCAGCCGGAAAATGAAAATCATGCAATGTACCAGCCACTTGGAAAGAGGTGGGATGGTGTTCAAGAACTTTCCTCAAAAAAAGGATCCTTCTCCCTTTGCAGTCATCCTGACTAACTTGTTATTTATTTCACAATTACTTTAAATAAAAATAAAAATAATTTTAAAAAGGCAAAGAAAAAAACTAATGCTTTGCTTAGGCTGATGATCTGATACATACCCCCCAATTCATACCCCCCCCAAAAAAGCTACAGTGCAAGTCCATCACATATGCTGAAAGAGGTAGGAGTATATGAGAGGAAATAGTGCACAAATGCATATGACCTATAATTACTATACACCTAACCTTAATTCAGGTGTTTCCAAGTTCAGAGTTTTGCTTTCCAACCATAGTGCTGCTTTTTTTTTCTTTTTTATCCTTTTGCACTCTTTCTGTGTCTTTTAAGAGAAGGACTGAATCCTTGTTTTTTTTCCTGCAAAAAGTTTGACATATGAAATCATTGATGTATTTGTGGCTCACAAAGAATGGCAGAGGTCTTGCTTTCAAAATAAGATAGATACTTGATTAATTTATCAAGATTAAAGCAGTCTTGGGCTTACAAAGGCCATAGTGTTTTCTGTGCTGTCGAAGTGATGAATCGCAGGTAGCCAACAGATGTGCATGTTTTGTCCCCTAAATTGTTCCAACCAATTTCAGTTCTGTGCTGTAATCTGTAGGATGCTTCTGCACTTCCCTTTTACCTGTTTGCATTAATTCACTACCACCTGTTTTTTATGCCCTTTCATTCGTTTTCTTAGAACAGTGTGTTTCACTCAGACTAGATAAATGCAAAAACCATCTGTAACAGTTTATTTACATTTACCATTTTATATGAGTTACATGGTTGCTTATAAACTTGCGCTATTTTGCATTGCAGCAAAGCAAGCGATGGAGCAAGGAAAATCTCCGGTTATAATAGACAACACTAATACTCAAGCCTGGGAAATGAAGCCATATGTGGAAGTGGTAGGTTTTGTTATGTGATTGTATCATCTGTTACAACTTTGCAAACTTGCTTTCATGTGTGATAAATTGGTCTGTTTTGTCCAGAAACATTTTCCTTACTCGAGTTTGTAAAGAGAGACTGCTTATTGATCCAATCAGTAATTGGTATGGCAGTAGTTCAGACCAGTTTAAGGGTTGACTTGATCTAATCTCCTTACCCTGGAATGAAAGCTAAGACGGGCTGGGGGTAAGTGAAATTCAGCATGCTACCACCTCAGAGTTAACTGCATCTATCTGTTTGTTATGGTGCACCTATCATGCTTTTTTTTTTTTGCTTGCTTGCTACAGGCTCTAGAAAAGGGATACAGAGTGGAGTTCCATGAGCCAGATACTTGGTGGAAGTTTGATCCTGAAGAATTAGAAAAGTAAGGTTTATATTACAGAAATCATTGTACTTATATATAGAGATAGATATATATGTGTGCATATTTATCTATGCAGTACGTTATATTTTATTCAGTGTTTTATTTCTTTTAAATGCTTACTACTAGTATAAAATGTATTTTATTTAAATAGGCATTTTGAGACATACCTTTAAATGGAGGTCCTGTTGGCCCAAAAAGTTGATATTAAAATTCTGTTGGACATGAGTAGAAAAATGATTGACCCCCCGTAAGAATCGCTGCTGTTATACTGAGAAATTTGTTGCTACAAAATGCTGATGGCAAGAAATAGGTAGAAGACAAAGAATTGCACATTTTGCAAGGAGTACATCAGTATAAGTGCTTTGGTCTGTCTGCTTCTATAGATGTCTCTGTGTCAAACAACAACAGTCCATTAGTAATCAGTAAAGGTTAAAAAGAAAGCTCATGTTTTAGATTATTCTGTTGCAAGATTTTGTGAAATTGTCCCTGGTCTTCAGAGGGTCTGACTTAGAGTACTGTTGGACATAGGTTACTGGACTTCTGCCTTGCAAGAGTGCCTGGAAACCTGGATTATTCCTGGTTAATGTCTTTTTTTGTCTCAGATGCTTTAGGAATCTATGAGATATCAAAAGAACTTAGGGATATTTCATTGTTTGAAATGGAATGTAATGTTTTCATGATTGATCACAAAAGAGTTCTTTTGCTGATTGTCATTTTATGCATTTTCTGCCAACTTGGCTTATAATTGTTTCAGCTTTGTAAAGTAGCCCCTACAATGCATGAAGTATGCGTGTGTAATACTTACATTACTGACTTGGACTTTATTGTGTTTATAGAACTTTTAAAGTTTGCACCTTTTGCTCCTAAGCTACCGCTAACTTATTTTTAGAGATAGAGTCCTCTCTATGTAGAGTGAATTCTAATAAGTTTTTCTAGTTTGTGGTGCAGCCCAGCCAAGTTAGAAAGCTGTCTTAGTAATCAGGCTTTTCTAATAAGTTCAGTGTGAGACATGAGACGGACTAATTTTCCAGGAAAATTCACGTTTTCACAGGGTAACAGGATAAACAGGCATGAAATGTTATTACCATTCAATTTCATTGTCCGATGATTAATTGTAGGAGATAAGTATATATCTTTCCTAAAACCAAAGGAAAACTCTCCAACTGTGAAGTGTTGGCATGAGTTCCTAGGAGCTTCCTATAAGTGCTTTAGCTTTAAATATGTGAATAGAGACCCATTGTCTGGAAACTTTATTTTTTGGGAGTTTAGAATGGGTGGTGATGTGAGGTTTCATTTTGTTTATCAATTGCTTGAGGAGAGGGCTCAATTTTTAAAGGACTTGTGTTTTCCATGTTTGTGTTTGGGAAATAAATAATGCTAGAGATGTTATTGTAGTTTCGGGAATCCCCTTAAAATTTTGAGCTAAACATTTTGTGCAGAACCTGGGCAAATACAATGCTAATAATAAATTTTGGCAATTTTATTAGTTCTCTGGAGTGATACGTTCTAATTTGCTAAACACCATCACCTAAGACTCTTTGTTTCTGGTTGTTTGAATAAAAAATGCACTAGCTCCTACTTTAATTAGCAAAAGACCTTTTTGTGTACTTTTGGATACTTTTTCCTCATTTATTTGGTTTCAGTGCTAGATTGTTAGTGTTACGGTTTGGGCTGGACTGGCCACAGAGATGAAAGACAGATGCTTTCCCCCATCTCTCTCTCCAAGGAAATACTTTTATCAAGTGATAAAACACACATATTCTAGATATCAGGTGGATTTCTAGATACTATTTTCATAGGGTTGTTGCTGCCACCACTTAGTGTGTCTGAGAAATCTGTGAAAAAGCTCTATAGGTCAACACTGGGTGAACACTTGATGTCAAGAATATGAGAGAGATTTTAGTGTAAAATTGGTGTCAGTTTCTTGTTCTTCTAGTGTGTCTGTGAGGTACGAATTATCTTTAGACTCGTTCATGCGTGATTTTGCTTTTAGTTCAGTTTTGTGCATGTATCTTAAGTCCACAAGCATACACCTTGCGGTAGTGGTCGATACTTCTTGTATAGCATTTAGACTTTTTATATAAAGGATTTTGTACTTTTACATAATTTTTAGGAAGTCTTGAAAACTGCAGGTGAGAGAACAGGAGAGTGGCAATATGACTAGTAGAAGAGAGATATTTTTTTAAAATGTTTAATCAGTGTTGGATGAAAAGATTACCCTCTGTCATGTCCGTATTCTTTCTGACTAGCTTGTCAGTTGTGAACCAGAACTTTTTTTAAAAAAGTATACATTTGTTTCAAGCTTTTGGAGAATAACAGGTATCCTGTGTATAACTGTGTTTTGGGACAGATGTTTTAATTTTAAAAAAGTTACCTTCTGTGTAACTTCACACAGAAGTGAAGTGCAAAATGTTTAATATAATCCCTTTCCTTCAGTATGACGACAAAATTGCACTTTGGCACTGACTTCATCAAACTTGTGCTGATTCTTTTAAGTAGTAATGTCTGTGCAGGATTACTTTGCCAGTATACTGGTATGTAAAATTCTTCCACTGTAGAAGCATTTAATAGTGACAGAACTTTGCTTTAATCAATAGATTCTGTGTTCCTCCAAGTAAAACCAGCTACAACTGTCTGTTAGGAGCTGTTGCTGGTACACCTGTGTTGGTTAGTGATAGATGGCTTCATGCTCTTTCAGCGTAGCCAAGCCACCAAAGGATGGGCAAAGACATGCCTGAATAGGAGATCCCACTATTAAATGACACTATACAGCAGATTTGTTTCCCTTTTTAAATAGATTTCTATGCTTGATGCAATTTTGCTGGTAGTGATTTTATTATCCTGCCTTGTTCGTTAAGGAAAAATACGCACTCATTTATGAAGTGATTATCCACAGGGCCGTTCAATAGTGGATGAGTGCTGAGAGCTCTTGAGCTGTAATCTTTTTCTAGGAGTGCTAAGAGATGTAGATTGAATAGCTTTATGGTTCCACCATTTGGCATAAAAGGACTTAGACTTTCTCTTCTCAGTTTTTTTCTGTCATGAGAGCAAAGTGCTTTATAGAATCCCCGTATTTCTAGGGGATTGGCTTTTCGTTAAGAAGTCTTAACAGTTTTGATTTTACTCATGAACAGGAACATGCTGCTGCTCCTGGACTTCCTTAGCACAGTTTGGAAATTAGTTGCATTTAAACAATGGTCTGCTTGTGATTATCACTCTAGTTTCTGATGTTGTCCCAGGGAATAGTGTCTAGAAGAGATACTATTAAGTCTTTTCTTCCCAGAAAGAAAGCTGATAAGGAGCCAGCATAACTCTAAATTAACATGACCAATTCTTCTTCTGTTCTGAATCTGAAACTGATGTGCTACCTGCAGTATGCTTTGAACCCTCATCAACTTGTTATGTACTTCTTTGTTGTAATAATATGCACAGACTCTGGGGTGGGGGGGAGGCAGGCAGAAGGAAAGGAAAAGTCTTTTAAAGTATTTCTATAGAGAGTATCCACTTTCCAGTATAGCCTGTTTGTTTCTGGTATTGATTTCTCCTCTATAGAACTGAGCAAGTTATAAGGAGGCCCATGCCTCTTCTGTCCCTGTCAGAAAGCACAAACATGCAGGCATATATTCCTTACTGGTATGACTTAAAATAATTCAGCTTGGACAAGGTTTCTTGGTGGTAAGAATTGGGTTATGATAAATACTATCGAAAAGTTTTGTTTACGTCTTAGATCTGTTCTTTTAGATTCAGTTCTGTTACGCGGCTGGCAATTCTGACACTTGAGTTTGTGCATGAGCCTTGTAGTTTTCTTTTTGGCAGAGACAGAAATTTTCTGCTAACATGGATTTTAACATCCTATTCCATAGATACTAAGGAGCTAGATACATTCTAATGTAATGTCTAATGTCTCAAGTTCTTAGTAGGCAAAGTTCTCACTGAAAGTAGCTAGCTGTGCACTAAACACTGCAAGAACAGGAGAATTCTTTTGACCTATGTTCCCTGATATGTGTTTTGGTACATTTCTCAACTTCCAGCAAGTATCAGTAAGAGCGAGTAGATAAAGGTATCATGACCATGCTGTTCTGGTTCAAAAATAAAATTGATGCAAAAATATTCTGTCATTAACTCTCGAAACGATGTAATTTAATTTTTTTTATGACAGTTTGAACATTGCTTTCATAAGTAGTAGTCTATAATATTATTCGTCCCTCTACTCATTAGCTAGTATACTATGTAAAATCTGATGAATAAATAGAAAGCCAAGTCATTCTAGGTTTATTTAGGTACATAGTCATGCTGAATAACATCACATTTCTGTATGAAGAAGAATGACTGTATTGTTTTCTGTTATTTCATATATAAAGTAGTGAATTGTTAAAATAAACCTTAATACAAGTTCAATACTGAGAGAATGCAAATACGGTGTAATAAAAGTGAAAATTCAAATATGAAAAGCAGGAAGAAATAGAATCTTTTTATTTTTCTTAAAGACTGTACACATATAAACATACCAGACAATTTATTTAAATTTTTATTTTGTAGGAGGAATAAACATGGGGTCACTCGTGAGAAGATTGCTCAGATGTTGGAACGATATGAATATCAAATATCCATACCTATTGTCATGAATTCAGTGGTACCTCCCCACAAAAACACACAAAGGCCACCTTTGCAGCGAAGACATAGGTGGGGAGACAATACAGACTCACGGAATTCTTTCAGTATTTTCAGTAACCGATAACACAGTTGCAGGCAGTAAATAAAAATTTGCTAACTTGCCCTTCTAAAACACATCATCACCTCCAATAAAGTAGTGGATCTTCTGTGTTTTAAATAGGCCTATTTCAAGACCTTTTTCTTCTGGAGGTTGTTCCTTTAACGGACTTGCATGTAAATAAAACTGTACTTTAAATGTTTTTTAAAGCTATATTTATTACAATTGTAATAACTTTGATTTTAGTAAAATATTTAATATAGTATGACATACAGCAGAGTCTTCCTTCAGAAACTTAAGACAATGATGTTGTCATGTAACAAGTAACTGTTGAGCAGTTTTTTAAAAGAAGAATTCATATTAAGTAAATCTTGAAAGAGAATGACAGTCCCAGAAGAATCGACGGTTTATGTAATAACCAATTTTAATGATTGCCACTTAGTCTCCTTTCATGAGATTTTTTTTTTAAAACAGTTATGCCCCGGATTGTCCTTTTAGTCTATTTGGCATGTATTGTCAAATGGCAAACTTTTGGCATCTGTTTTCTGGTTTCAGTTGTGTTTTTTAGGGTTTTTTTTTGGGGGGGGGATGCCTCAGAAGCTCATCTGGAGGCTGAAGCAACATTCTGCCAATACAGTATTCATCAGCCTTAAACTGTGTAACCTGAATTATTTATTTTATTTGTTTGTTTTCAGTGGTAGTATATAAAGTATTATGGTTTGTGCTAACTAAAAAACCCTGAATTTTATCACTAAAAACTAAAAATTTCACAGCTATGTCTTTCTAAGTCAACTTCACTTAGGATAAAAATGAAGTACTAAAGCATCAGGATGTCAAGTCCCAGTCCATAGTTGGGATGCATCAATTAATTATAAAGAGTGGACATAATTCTGTAAGACCATGTTGCATTCCTAATTTTGGCACAGCCAATATAATCTGTTTAGTGCATATCAAAGAATGAGCCAGCATGGAGATTGACTGATTTACTGCCCTTTTTCTGTCAAAAAAAACCAAAGCAAAACAAAACATGAATTTGTATGTTTTCACTTTGCTTGCTTTCTAACAGCTTGCTGTATTAATAAAATGTATTTTTCTTCAGTGTTGTTTTAGTAGTTCAATGAACAGTTTTCATTATTTTCAAGCTTTTAGGATTTTATACAGGTGAACATTAATAACTTGCTAGCTGAAATAACCTGTCTTCAGGTCTAACTATATTTTATTTCTTTATACACTGAATGAGTAAATTTTGAATAGGAAGTTTTGTCGAGAACATGAATACATACCTAAAATAATTTTCATGGTTTCCTATTACTAATTTGGTGTAATAGCCATCAGAATTTTGAAAATTCCTAAGCCAGCATAATTATTTTTTTTTACATATAGATAATTTTTGAATAGGCCCTAAAAATTACTTCATCTTTGAAGTCTGAATACCATGAAAGTTGAAAATCCAGGTATATAATGAAATATTTTTCTGTTATTTTTTCTGTGCCTATTGTGCAAATCTAAATTTGTACGATTTAATGTATATGTGAAATAACATTTTCATTAATTATAAAAGTTGAAGTGTGCAGTTTCACATTTTAGTAATTTTAATTATTAAAAAATAATTCTAAATGTTTCAGTAGCACATGGATGTTAATATATTGAATTATGTGTACATAGAGAGATATATAAAAAGAAGCTCTCCAACTATATTAGTTGTCTTCCTTCATTATCTGTTATCTGTACCAATTATGTTATCGTATTTTAGTTTTCATGGTTATCTTTTTTTTGTGTCTGAAAAGAAGCATGGGAGTCATTGTAAATGGTCAGTAATACTTTAATTATCCCAAAGTTTTTATATTTAAAAATGAAAACATATTTCAAGTGGGAGGAAGATAAAGAGATTTTAGAAAAACTTATATAGAGTAAATAAAATTAGTCTAAGCCATAATAAAGTGATAAAATTTATTAAGTCTTTATGTAATATTCACACAGTGTGCTAAGTATGGTATGACAAAAAAGAGCTGATTCTTGAAAATTGATGTTATGATATCTTTTGGTACCTACTGTCTTCAAGTTTTAAAGGAAACGGCTTTTTTTTAGCAATACTTAATTGTTATTTAAGTTCTCTTTAACTGAAATCTCTATTTAAATAGATGTGAATTCATGCTATTTTAAAATGGCAGCATTTTGGGGTGTTACCATTTTAATAAATTATTGGTGGATGGTGAGTATTTTTGATCGGCAAAGCATGTTGCTCAGCAATAGGCCTGCAGTTTGCAAAGGAGACGTAACAAGAAAGGAACACTTTGCAGCTTGGCACTGTATCAGACATTTCTTGTAAACTGCTTAATCTGTAGAGCTGTGTTCCAAGGTAAGTACAGCCACATGGTAGTGAAGACACAATGGAATTACTGCCCATGTAACACATTTTTGTTTCTTAACAAAATATTCATATTTCGTGAGGATGTAGCAGTCATGATCATATGTGTATCACAGACAGAAGTTGCTTTTACACTACAATACTTATATGTAAAAATAATAAAAATATGATGTGAAATACGTGTTGCAGGTATGGAATTTCTCCTGCCACCTCACAAACAAGGAAAATTTACTTACTTTGTCAGAAAGTAGGTACCAGAAATGTAAGAACTCGCTGTTCAGTTAGACTGGGCATCTAAAAGTTTTTACTGTCTGGCATAGTTGTTATGCAGTACACCTGCTGATGGTAATAATGTACCTAGAATGAAGGATTCCTGTTGCTTTAGATTTTTAGTAAATTGCTAGTTAATCATATTTCATTAAATAAGTGTCAGATTTTTTTAAAAATTAACTAATGCATAGAACCCTAATGTTACAAATGTAAAATCGTAAAAACCTCACTTCAGTGAGATGTTTGGTAAGTAAATTTAAACAAAAGTTAAAAGCTGTAGTTTTAACATCCTGCTCTTCTAAGCATAAAATTTAAATGAAAATTAATTTGCAGAACATATGTAATCTGGTTCGTATAGCTGACCAGTTAGCATCAGCTGTATAGGATTACATGTTGCTATAGAAAAAAATAGTTGTAGTTTTACTGCTTCATCTAAACTTTAGTCTGGGGCTGTGGTTTGGATTTGTGCTGAAAACAGTGTTGCTAACACGGGTGTTTTTGTTATTGCTGAGCGGTGCTCACACAGAGTCAGGCCTTCTCTGCTCCTCACGTTGACCCACCAGGGAGTGGGCTGGGGGCGCACAAGAAGTTGGGAAGGGACACGGCCAAGACAGCTGTCCCCAACTGACCAAAGGGACATCCCATGACGTGCCCAGCAGTGTATGGGGCTGGGGGAAGAGAAAGGAAGGGGGGACATTTGGAGTGATGGCTTTTGTCTTCCCAAGTAACCACTGCACGTGATGGAACCCTGCTTCCTGGGGATGGCTGAATACCTGCCTGCCAAGGGGAAGTCAGTTTGAACTCCGTGTTTTGCTTTGCTTGCGTGCACGGCTTGTGCTTTACCTGTTAAACTGTCTTTTTCTCAAACCACAAGTTTCCTCACTTTTACTCTCCCACATCCCACTGGAGTGAGCGAGGGACTGTGTGGGACTTCTTGATCGCTGGGTTATGCCATGACAACCTATTGTAACACTTTTTTATTATTAACACGATGTTAAATTATTTCCTGTCTTCAGTTCTTACAGTCATGTCCTCTTTAGGTTCATTTTAATCTAGTTTGCCATGCTGCATAACTTTTTTTAAGCTTTTTGTCTTTAGGAAGAAAGCCAAGATTTTCTCTCTTACCATTTATCTCTTGAAACCTGCAGAGACAGTAGTTTTTCTTTGGATCTCTAATAGATAACTGAAAACCAGGCTTTGTCTAGCTGATGTGGGACCCATAACATTAATATTTGATTAATTTGTGTCTGCCTTCCCTGATGTAATTTAAACTGTATTGTTATTTTCTTCTTTGAGCTGACCAGTAGGATTCATTTTTGGAGAACTAGGAAAAAAATTACTTTTGTATTTTCACCTTCGTGTGTGATACGTGTTGTTTGTAACTGCTGCTTCCTCCTAGCAATGGAATTTTCTGGAAAAAAAAGTGTTTTCCATCTGTGCCAGTACCTCATGGAGATGAGGTGACTTAGGTGTATGGTGAGACTTGAGAGCTTTCCGTGACAAGAACAAGAGACATATATTACAATTCCCAGTAAAGAGCAATAAGAACATAGAGCGTTGAAATACAGTTCATAACATTGAAATTAAGTACTCCATTTAAAAGAGTGATCAGATGTGTCATATTGGTGGGATGAGGAAATATTTCACTTCAGTGTTTCTACAGTGACACTTTCTCATTTCAATGTTTTATGTTCTCATCCTTTCAACATAAAAGCAAGAGCAGAGATTGAAGTTCTTTAGTAATCATTTCTTAGGTGAGAATCTACTTGTACATCAATTAATTTTGACATTATTTTTCTTTTTATAGCATAATTGGTTTAAATTAGCTGTAAACCAGCTTATTTTGAGTTCACAAACAATATGTGCAAACATAGCTGGCCTTTTAAGTATTTAGAGGATAAACTAGTAAATAACAGGGTTTGTCAAGGTTGGATCATCTCAAATTAATCTAATTTATTTCTGTAGTAATGGAGAAGTGGCAAGTGGTGGTTTTAGTTTGATACTGTCAGTGTCATTCTAGATCAAGGGTAATAAAAGCATTGAAGTATTGCATCGGGAATGGGTCTTTGCGGTTTCCTTGTAGCTGATAATGTTGGTTTTCATTTCTCAGGTAGGCAGGCAGCCCTTGGCCATTTAATGTCTACCTTGCCAATAGTATGGCCGTATGACGAAGTACTGAGACTTGTTGAAAAGGGTGTAATACCTTCCAGAGAGTGCACGTTGTAACTGGATGCTGGGGAGCTCTCAGTATTTCACAGAGTGTTTGAGATGCACAGATGAGCAGGTGTTCTCAATAGCAATGTTGTCTGCAGTTACCAGTATCTGAATTTTAAT